AATCCTGAATCAATGTAAAAGCAAATGAACTTTTAACTAGAGTTAATATTTCATGAAAATTTCCGACATACTATCCAGTTGAAAGGTCTTCATATGAAATCACATTGCATTTATGTTAACAATCTTAAGAGATAGGTAATAGTATTATCCACATTCTACAAAGAGAGAAACAAGCAGAGAGAAGTAATATTAAAATCCACACAAGAAAATGATAAACCTGGGAGTCAAACTTAAGGGATATTTTCCTAATCAAAATTAAGACACATAAAGAGAAATGTAGTAGAAAACCAAACCTAAAAAAAACACAGGTAACACAATACAATCACATATATCACTTATGATTCTAAATACTGCTTAAAAGATTGCTTGAACTCCCTATTAAAAACCAGTGCTATCAATGTAGTTTTTAAAAGTGAAACACAATTACATTTTACACACATGAGAAAGACCTAAAACAAAGTTATTGAGAAAGGATAAAATAAAAGAATAAGCAAGTATAATTTAAACAAATATAAAGGAATCACCTTAACAAAATAGAAGTCAGAAAAATTAAATTTTAATTTATAAAGTATTAAATAGGGCAAGGGGTGCTTTCTGGTTTGAATTGCAAAAAGGAACACTAATGAAACTTTAAGTCATGCCATTTACAAACATTTCTTCTGAGCATTCTTATTTAAAGAAACAGGTTCCAAGGGAAACTATTTATTTACTCATTGTTCAATATTCTTTTTATCCACTGTTGCCCTTGTAATTTCCTGGTTCTTTGAAGACACTCATCTAGCTATTAGTGACAAGTTTAGCATTCTTGTGACTATCTACCCAAAATGTTAGGGAGATACAAGGACAGAGGGGAAGAGAAAGGGAAATAAAAAGGACTAAGGTATGATATTACATGTATCACACCCCACAATGTATGTAGTCAATAATTATAACAAACAATAATAAAACAGGATAGCTTTACAATATTACTGAAGTACAATCATAATTCATTTCAGGGTCATTCCTTTTATCTGTTTTCTGGGGTTTTTTTGTTTGTTTGTTTGTTTTGAGGCAAGGTCTCACTATTAGTTCACGCTGACCTTTCACTATATAGTCCAGACAGGTCTCAAAATCCCAGGCATTCTGCCTCAGTCTCCCGAGGGCTGGGGTACAGACATGTGCTATCATGCCTGACAAGGGCTATATTTTGAAGTACTGTATCTCAAACTGGTCAGCCCTATAATCACATATTAAAACATTCTATTTTGTATCTGTTCAATTATATAATACAAATATTATCAATTCTTCAAAACCCTTGATCCCTCTGGGACATTGACATTTTTCATTACTATTACTTAGAGTCAAGGTGTTTATGTGTTCTTCTCTATCCATGGTAAATTCTATGCTTCATCATTTCAATCATTCTCTTCCTAATATTTTATTGGCCTTGCTCCAGTTGCCTTTGATTGTATGTGTCCAACAAAACTCACTCTCTGGAGTACTGAACATAATAAATCATGGAAAACAAACACTCAAACTTCCTCCGTAGGTATATTTCTGTTCCCATAACTTCATGGTCAGCAGCATCAAGCTTAATTGTTGCTAATGTCCAGTTACCCAACAATATATGTGCAATCTTATATTGCTCAGTCTCCCTCTAAGAATTATGTTCCTCAGACTTCAAAGCATAATACTCTCTATCTCACTTCAACTCCATCTTTCTGAACAGCAATCTTTCATTTTCGTTCTCAGTCATTTGCTATAAATCATGTAATACTAAGTCATCACATTTACATCAGTGTTGTTATAATTGGAGAAAAGATGACCCCTTCATATTTTAGGCTAAAATCAAATCTAAATCTTCTATCTCAGATAGTTCAACCTTGTCATGTGGTATTATCATTCAGTCTCTTGCTTTCATTTTCAACATAGCTCTTTCAACTCTCTGTTTGGCATTTAAACAATGTAAATATGCTTTACTTCTTCTCCTAGTCTAAATAATGAGGAAAATGACATTGCCTCATTCAGAGCTGTGCAGTTGTCTGTACTCTTCATGTCTGTTTTCTTGTCTCCTGCTTACTTGTGTTCTTTTATCCGTTCTACTCTTGCATCTGTTTTCACCAGTCCCCTGAAGCAACTGTTACCCAGGACATCAGTGACATCCATGCCTCACCTTTTCAGTCCTTGCTTGACTTCTCAGCAGTCTTTGACATTCTTGATCATGTCTCTTGATCTTGACCCGTTCTCATTCTTTAATGTTATATTTCAGCACCCTAAGTTTTTTTTCATCTTCTCTGGGATCCTATTTCATCTTTTGCATATTCCTTCCATGTTCAGGTATTTCCTGGTTCTTCTCTTACATCCTGCTGTTTCTCAAGGCTTTTCTTCTCTATAACACTTTTCTGATCTGTATCAACTCCTAAATTCCCAGTTAATAGCTATATATTGACATAGCCCGACCCCTTACCTCTTATTTAGGTCTTGCAAGAAAATACATATTCAACTTCACCATGAATACCCTCTTTGGGGTGTCTTTTTTTTTTTGTATCAGGGATCAAACTCAAGACCACATGCCTGCAAGGCATGCACTTATGCCACTGAACTAAATCCCTGGCCTATTTTGGATGTCTTACTGATACTTCAAAATGATTTATTTTCAAAAACTTAAAATTAATACTTGTATTTCCTTAAAGCCTGCATTCCCCTTTTCTATCCAGTATCTCACAGCATCTTAACAACATCCACCGACCCAAAAAAGAAACTTGAAATTCATCATTTATATCTACTTTCACTTAAGGAACCCACATACATTAAATTATATTCATACATACATTGTTTTGACTTAAAATAAAAATTCTTAACACAGCTAGCAATGTGTCCAAAATTTGGACTTACTTCCAAATGTGCTTTATAACACATTCCAAGAATGTTTGCTAGAGAGCAGCCTACCTTGTCTAAAACTGTGTATAGTAAAAGCAATTTCCATAAGAAAAAAAAGACAAATATATACTATCACTTTATTTACCCGAATGCTAATTATAATATGTATCACTTTATTTGTAAATTTTCATTAAGTATCCATTGAGATTTATATCAACTGTCTGAAATAGACAGAACCAAAGCCAGAGGTGATGGGAAGAACAAATCACTGCCATTCCTTGAGGTTCAAAGGTCACACTGCAAGTTGTTCTAAAAAGGTACTGTGCACTGACTCTACTGTATTTTTTCTTAACAATGGTTGTAGGAAGGTAAGTCTAATCAGATAACACATGCTATTTCAATTACAGCTAAGGGAACATATATTCCATCAGCACCAAACTCTCCTGATTATAACACATTTACATGCAGACTGACGTCTTGTTTTTGAACAATTATTCATATTCTTTCTGCTGCTTTGAGGCAAATTCTAAACATTGTTTAAATCTCAGCTAAGCCCCATTTCATTCAACATTTAAATATATTCCCAGGGAAGAGTTTCCAACTCTTTCCATGTTAGAAAATTATATTTCTTCTTTAATGAAATACATCAATTTACAACAAGTTGTTTAACATTTATTTTTCTGGTTAGGTTCTAATCTCTGTTAAACCATATTAATTTTGTTCATTTTGTTTCATTTTGATAGTATCCCTAAGGATCTACACAATGATGAAAGTGAGTATCATTAATGAGTCCAGACAAAAATATTCTCATCTTCTCAGAGTCTCTAAAATCCCATATATATAACTTCATAATTAAGGCAAAATAAATTCATCCAAACTTGAAGGCAATATTCCAAGCTATGAAGAAACTAAAAACATTTCCGTGAAAGATAAAAATAAGATCACAACCATCATTTTTATTGAGTACTCAAAAAATTCTCACCAGTTATAGAAGATATTTTTAGAACTGCTTATTTTGCACATCCTTCTTAGCTTGCCTGAGGTACAAATTCATCCAGAAAGTTTTTTAATTATCAAGACTGAATTAAGGGTCCCATCTGTATGTACTCACAGAACCATATATGTATTTCCTATGGTAATACTTAACATAATTTACTACATTCACTTGTATATCTTCTATTTTTCTTGAGATTAAGATATTTTCACATCCATGACTTTATCATATTTAAGTTCAATTTCTATAAAATACTAATTTTACTAGATAGTGTTTAAATCATGGCACATAAGCTTCCATTTGATGTAGAAACTACCTTTTAAGGTGTACCCCTTCTATTCTACCACTATTCTCCCCTATATTCACCCTATGTTCTGCTAAAATTCAGAATAATGAGAATGTGTAAATAAAAATAAAAAATGTAAGAATTAGTGCATGAGTGAGAAAATGAGTGGGCAAGTAAAAATCACCAGGCAATTACACATACATCCAGATATACTTGGATTCACAAAATCTATAGTATCATGGTGTAGGCAACAGCTTTAAAGACAATTTTTAGAGTCAAGTATAAAGAATTTACACTTGGCCTGTGGATATGATTTATCTGTATTACCCTGCACTATTTAATAGATTCTGTTAAGATACCTATTTCCTTACAGACACTGTAAGGGAATTATATAAAAAAATTCTTAGCTCAGTGCCTAAAAAATGTTAAGCTCTTAATAAATAACTGCTATTATATAATATATTCATTATTGTTGCTCTTATTATTTATACTACTACAAATATAGAAAAATGTTCATGCATAGCAGAATCCCACATGATGATTGACAGATGCAAGTCATATAGAAACCAGACTAAGAGTCCTTCTTCTGGTTCTCAGATCACAGATCCTTTCTGTTTAGCTGTCAAGTTGTCCTCCACGTGTCCTCAGTCTTACCTGTGACTTTGCCCCATAGTTATCCCATTCTCTGAGACTTTCAAACCTGGCACCCAGGGATGCAGGCCTTATTTCACAGGGAAACCTGAACATTCCTTTCTTCTCTTTAATATCTACTTGATCTCTTTACGCCTTTAACATGACCTCCAGAACCTGAGGTCTGCCTTTGACTTCCCAACCTATTGCCTCATCCAAACCAACACTTACCAAATCTCAGGACCTTGATGGGACTCAGGCATAAAGAGCAATGGCACCCTTGAGAGATCAGTCTTCTTATCCCCACTCCTGGACCTTCAGAGAGGGGAAACAGAGCTTGCAGGTTCCTGAGGGACTACAGACAAGAACTCAATTAGTGAACTATGAATAGCACACGGAGCTCCAGAGGCCTTGAGGTCCCAAATGCTGGTGTAGACTGTCCCTGCAGGCCCAAAAGCAGGTGCTGTCCTGAGAGAAGAGAATACCCGGAGGTTTTCAGCTGCTATCGCCACTGCTTCTAGAATAATCTACAGAGAAATCTCCATATTTATCATAAGGAATTTGTATTTCTCTCTGTTGGTTTTTTGTCTTGTTCTGTTATGCTGTTTTGTTATTTTTCATAATTTGTTTTGTTTTCTCTTGCTGCTAAGAGTTTAAATCAGACCTTCATGAACGCTAGCAAGTGCTCTATCACTGAGTTATACCCTTTGCCACTATATGTACTATTTTACTAAGGCTATAAATATTCAATTATTTGTATAAGCAATTACAATAGTAATTTCATTGTAAGAACGTAAATGGGGGTAAGAGGAGAAATAGATTCTTCTTTCTCATTCAAGCCAAAATGCCATGGTTATCACAGACTAGGCCTCACCAAGCAGTGGAACTTCCATATAAATCTCTCTATACATACATTTGCCAGTCCATTTAGACAACGGATATCTTCAGAATTATTCTTTTCAGTTACCATGTTCAGTCCTATGTTATTTCTACAATTAGTCTCTGATTAATCCAAAGATTTTGATTCCATTCTTTTCTCTGAAGCTATAATAATCATTTTTTATTTTAATTTTTATTTTAAAGAGATTAAGACAAAAGAGGACAGAACAAAGCAGATCAGAACAATGTAAGCAACAGTAATGTACTTCACCACAAGACTTCACCACAAGACGACTCGGTATTAACAGTAGCTACCATAATGCCTCTTTCTTTGAAATAGTTGAGCATAGCTTCACATACAACAGTATCTGATATAACAAAATAGTATAAAACCATTCAAGAGAATGAAAATATTACAGGGCATTCAGAACCAAATAATAGAAAACAAACAATGGCTACTATGTTATCTTTTTCCATAAAAAATTTGTTTATACTATCACACACAATGAAATCCAATAAGATACAACATGATAGAACCAATGGAAACAGAAGAACAAAAGCATGGTAGGACTTCAAAGCAAGATGATATTAAATCAGTAATAGCTGCCATAATGTCTTGTTTTCTTCAAAATAGCTTTTTATACCACCACACATAATTAAACCAAACAAAACAGAATAAAACCATTCCAACTAATGAATAAAAACATTTTAAGGCTTCAAAGCAATGTAATGGCGAATCATGATTGCCATAAAATCTCATATACTCTTACCATTTCTTACACCAGGGAGACTATATGGTATTTATACATGTGAGTTTCATTTATTTCACTTATGAGTATGGTCTCACGTTGCGTCCATTTATTTATAAATATCTCATTCTTTATAGCTGAGTAGTACTCCATTGTATATAAATACCACAACTTTTTATCCATTCCTCAGTTGTTGGACACTTAGGTTGTTTCCAAGATCTGGCTATTACAAATTGTGCCACTATAAACATGGGTACACATATATCACTGTAGTATAAGGTTTTCAGTTCTTCTGGGAATATGCCTAGAAATGGAATAAATAGCTGGGTCAAATGGGACTTCAATCCCAGCTTTTTTAGGAATCTCCAGATTGACCTCCACCGTGGTTGCACCAGTCTACACTCCCACCAACCGTGCAGGAGAGTTCCTTTTTCCCCACAGCCTCTCCAGCATTTGTTGTTGGTAGTTTTCTTGATCCTGACCATTCTTTCTGGAGTAAGATGGAATCTCAGTGCTGTTTTAACTTGCATTTCTCTAATGAATAATGATGATGAACATTTTTTCATGTATTTATTTGCCACTTGTATTTCTTCATCTGAGAACTGTGTATTCATCTCAGATGCCCATTTTTGGATTGGGTTTTTGAATTTCAGGGGTCTGATTTTTTTTAATTCTTTGTATGTTTTAGACAGAAGTCTAAGGGACGGTTCACTAAGATTTTTTCCCACTTTGTGGGTTTTCTTGTCACTATACTGAAGATTTCTTTTGATATGCAGAAACTTTTTAATAAGACATGAGCCCAGCTATTGATTCTGGGAAGTATTTCCTGTGTGGTTTGATTCATGTTCATGAATTCTCTACCTACCCTTATGTCTTCAAGATTTTTACCTACTTTGTCTTCCAACAGATTTAGTGTTTGTTTTAATATTCAGATCTTTGATCCATTTAGGTTTTAGTACATGGTTATAGGCACGGGTCTAGTTTTAGTTCTCAGCATATGGAGAGCCAATTTTTCTAGCACCATTTATTAAAGAGAACTGTCATTCTTCCAGTGAATATGTTTGGCCCCTTTATCAAAGATAAAGTGGTTTGGTTGGATTATTGAACACAACTGTTTGCAGTCTCTCTGTTTGAATGTCCACTTTGTATGCTTTGATACTGTGACTTGAGCAACTATCTCTAAGATGATAATGTGTAATCTATTAACTGGTGATTTCTTACATTTTTTTTTTTTTGGAGTTCTGTATTACTTGTACCCTTACACTGCTTTGTTTTGTTTTGTTTTTTCTCTTTTTCCTTTTAAATAAAATTTAAAAAAAAAGATAAAGTGGTTGAGTGTGTTTGTATCTTCTAATCTATTCCATTGATCTTCAGATCTGTTTTGATTCTGGTACCATGTTGATTTTATTACAGTAGCTTTGTAGTATAACTTCAAGTCAGGGATTGTGATTTCTCCTTTGCTGCTTAGAATTGCCTTTGCTAGTCTAGGTCTCTTCTGGTTCCAGATGAATTTTAGTAGTAATTTTCTAGATCTATGAAGTATATTGATGGTATTTTCATTGGAATTGCATTTAATCTGTTAACAGTTTTGGGAGAATGTCCATTTTCCTTTCCATAAACAAGGGACATCTTTCCATTTTCTGAGATTCTCTTCGATTTCTTTTTTTAGGGTATTAAGCTATATTTATATAAAGCTATATTTCTATAAGCTATATTCAAAAATAGAAATATGATCATGTTTATAGTTGATAATACTTTTAAGATAAAACAAATCTCCCTTCACATAATACAAACTATCAAGTAATTTCAGACTTGAAACTCCCTCTTTAGCTTTATCCCTCACTATTCTACCCTCAGATGTACCCTCAGTTCTCGACATGTTCAAATACAGTAGAATCTATTTAGCGTTCCAAATGCATTGTAATTTCTGAAGCACCATCTCTTCATATGTTTTCTCTTCTTTCAGAAATATAATTCCTGTTCTTTTCTTTCTGACTCAGCTTTAACATAATTGCCATCTTACTTACTTTGTTCTTCTGTTTACTCCCTGATATGTTAGCACTTATCAGTACATCTGTTAGTTACTGATGCTCTCTGCTTCTGTTTTCAGAATGTGAATTTCATGATGATAGAGATCTCATCGTCCACCAAGGAATTTCCATGGACATCCAACCGATGCCTTTAATTATTAAGACTAACATGATCTATGAAAATTATGGTCACACATTTGAAAATAGTACAATAGTCTTATTTTTATATGTATTGAAAAGTACAAATTATCAGAGAAGACAAAAATAAAATCATCCATTAATTCATTACCCAGATAGAACAACAGTTAATATTTTAGCTTTTCATCTACCAATATCTTATCTATGAAATATATGTATATACACCACCACTGTCATTCAACAGGGACACTGTGCATAAGTGTTTTGTGGCTTATTAAATTATAATCATAAATTATACTTTAGGTTTAAATAAAAATAATTAAACTATATTTGTATATAATTTAATCTCTATATAAATTAATCTTCCTGATATAGAATAAAATATTCTTTTCTAAATGAGAAAATACTTTTTAATGAAGATTACTGCTTAATTTTCAACTATTTAAATAACAACCAAGCTGAAAGTTTTTATTTTGACCCATAAAGTGTATAGCATGTCCCACTACATACTGACTTTTAAATTTTGAAGTCACTTACTATGTGACGAGACTTTCACAAGAATTATTTAGAGCAGAGACTTTAAGAAAAGCAACTACAATGTTTTCCATAAAGAAAAGATTTTTTTCCATCTATCAGATTCAGTTTTGTCATACATACAAAACATTAAGTTTTAAGGAATTTAAAATTAATAATGAAAGAAATTATAAAATCTATTTTAAGAATTTAAATAAGTAGTTAACATCAGTATCCAATGATATCTATGATTTATATTTTGATAATTACTCAAATTACTGATTTGTGATAATGCTTCTCAGAATAAATTGGATCTATTAGTAAAGAAAATTGTGTGATAAATCACTCCTATTTTTAAACATTATGCATAAACTTTAGTACAATCTCAGCTTAAATTTTAGAAAAAGTACTCATGTTATACTGCAACTACAGGGGTTCCCATTCTCAAGTATGGTTCCCTGAACTGCAATGACAACTCTTAGCAACTTAGAAAAAAAGCATTTCCTTTTGAAATTTCAAAAAAAAAGTTATTTATAATCAGTAGAGAACTGCTTATTCCAGAGATAGAAAGATACCAACTGACATAATGGTTTACATAGATTTTAATCTGATGAGTTGGATTTCTGTTCAAGAGGTCTTTGAATTTTTTACATTTTAAGCACATATTTATTTTTCTCCATATCTTGTAAGTGATCAGTAGATGCTTAGGTGATCAATAGATCTGTAATTGATAGGTAAGTATATATGTTAAAAAGATTTACAGCCTAACTTAAACAGAAAAACCTTTTTTTCTGTCCTTTTTCCTACTCTTTTTGATATTCTTTAAAAACTCACAGTTTTCTTTCCTTTTGAAAGTATTTATAAGACAATTCAATTGACAAAGAGCTTACAATTTTACCTGACCTTCATTTTAAATTTGTCATTTGTGCAAAAAATAGTGTTGGCCTCAGGATTTTGCTTGGAAACACCTTTTTAAAATTCATTATGGTAGAGAATTGGCCATGCTGGGACTGGGAGGACCCACCAAGAAGCCAAACAGCCAACCT